AGCGCCGAGCGCGTGTCGCACGACCGACACGCCCCGACGAGCGGGATACAAACCACCATCGTCTACTTTGGCGTCGAACGAAACGACAGCGCCTTTCATGGAGGAACGTCACCGCACCCGCGAAGGCTGCGCCCTCGCCCCGAATGGCGAGGGACGCGAGAGGAATGAAGGAGAACGCGCGCTGCGGGCGGCGCCCCCGCTTCGAATGGCGAGGGACGCGAAGGACAAGAACCGCCTTCAGGCGCTGTGCCCTCGCCCCCGAATGGCGAGGGGCGCCCGAAGGATAAGACGAAGTCCACACGCTGCGCCCCCGCCACCGGACAGCGGATGGGCGCGCGGACAAGAAGGCGGATGCGGTTCGCGTCGCGCCTTCGCCACGGATGGGCATCCTCTCATCCTCATCGTATTCGTATTCGTCCTCGTCCTCCTCTTCCTCCCCGTCGCGTGCGCCCTCGACCTTAATTCGCGCCTGCCCCTCATACTCTTTACGAGTCAGCGGCCGGATCCCGATGGCCAGCAGCTCAGCTTCCGAGTGCTCCACTCCGATGCGGATAGCGCGTTCCAGGACTACTACCCAGAGGGTCAGAGATCATACTCACATCTGGTTCTCACATCTGGTTCTCACGAACTGTAGCGTAAACTGCTTTTTAAAATATTCTGCGATGACTTTTCAGAAATAAGAATTCTGCATTGCTGTTTATCTATTTCTCATTTTTAATTACAGAATTCTGTCTTGCGTAAACCCACAAATATTTTTACAAATATTGAGCACTGTTCAAAATTTCATTAGATGTACCGCCCAAAAAGAATCCAAAAAAAAGTTTGCAGCCACCTCGACACGTCCCCAGTTCCGTCCCCAGTTCTCTCCTCGTAAACTGTCTTTCCCTTTTTTCTCGCAGAAGTACAGTGGACTACGGCCGCAAAGGAGCGGCTTCTGGTGCTGGGGCGGGCGATGAGCAATGACCAAGTTCGAAGCTGTTCGCATTGCCTCCGTGCTCGTTAGCTCCCTTCCAGTATGCTCGGGTCGAACTTCCATTGCCCTCGACGCCGACGAAAATATTTCGTTTGCTTCTGGCCACCCTGGCCAACCTGTCCAGCATGCATATCTCCATCCCTCCTTCACGCACAACCGACGGATATGCTCACCGTGCGCAGCCGCATACACCAATACGGAACCACTCACGCAAGTCTGCAAGCAAGCCTTCCTCATCTTCATCACACCGGTCCTATGAAAAAGTCACCACACCGATTTTCGTCGCACCCCCCTGGCATACATCTTGGCCAATTTGTCAGCCACAAATTCCGCCAGCATGTACGTCGAGGCCATGGGTCCAGCCGACACCGGCATACTCCTGAATACCGAGGAGTCGACAACCCTCAGTCCTTCCACGCCTTTCACCGAAAGATCGCTCCGCACCACGGCCCCCACCCGACACCCGCCGACAAAATGCAGACTGAATGAGGTCCTTTGTCTCAGTTGTGTGTCGTTGAAGTCAGGTGCTGGGCATGTTGTCTCCAACTGGAAGGATGCTGGGAGATTCCTGTGTACACGCACAAATCGCTCTAGGCATGTCCGCATTCGGTTCACATCTGTGCGACTGCCGAGGGCGTTGAGAAGCACTTTTGGCGTCGAAAATGGATCCCCGTCGAGGATGCGAAGATAGCCATAACTAGTAGGGTTTGTCAAGCAAAATGACTGCAAAATTCGTTCGTCTAGCGTCGTGGCGTCGTTCGCCGTTGACATTGGCACGTATCCAATGTCCTTCAGCACCGCCATTGTGGCGAAACCGGTGCTGCCCAATACACTTGGCTGTCTGCGACGCCAACTGCGGAGAGTTTCAGGACCATTCAAGATCGTGGAGTTGTTCGACGGCTCTAGAGGCTGTCCCTTGTAGTATTGTGAGGATACAAAGCCCAGGGCCCGCGACTGCGTCCGCTGCCCCACGGGTAGATCTACTCTCGTCTCTACGTTGGCCGCTTGAAGATGAGATCTTGGCCCGATGCCGGATAATTGCAGCAACTTGGGAGATCCGAATGGTCCCGCTGATAGTATTACCTCTTTGGAAGCAAGCAGCACGTTCTTGTTGGTCAAGCGAGTATCTTTGGAATCGACATATTCCACGCCAATTGCTCGTGGCACTGTGCTGTTGTCAAGAAGGACCCGAGTAACCGTCGTCCCCTGGATCAATCTCAAATTCCTCCTACATCTTCCATTCAATACAGGCTTGAGATACGCAGTGCATGAGTCAATCCTTCTACCGGATGGAGTGACGGCAACGGCCATCTCCCAAACAGCCTCTCGCAGACTTGTCTTGAACGGACTGAACTCTCTTGTAAACCTTGTTCTTGAGGCAGCGTCAGCATATTCGTCCCCATACAGTTGTCTCAACGATTGTGGTTGTTGGGCGAAGCCTACCTTGCGATACGCACGACGATAGAACCGCTTGGCGACACGGGACGACAGCCCTCGAATTCCCCACCTGCCCTCTTTGTTTCCTAGTGGGATACCCCACTGCATGGCGTTAATTGACGATGCCCCGCCGAGCGTGTTTGCGTCGATAATTTCCTGCCGTTGTCCCGCCATACTGGGGTCTGGTTCAGATTGAAACGTCTGCGAGAGGTTCGGATCTTCCCATGTCCGTCCAATGTTCCGCGCGGCACGCATCAATAATTCAGACTGGGGGCTACGAGGAACTCCGCGTTCCAGAACTACAACACTTGCTGTTTGGACACGTGAACAGAGTCGAGCTGCAATGGTACAGCCAGCAGTCCCACCGCCAACGATAACAAAGTCAGGAGATGCCGCTTCGGGACTCGCGTCCGCGATGGTAATCATGTGAACGAGAAGGAGGAGCAGACTGAGGCTGGGCATGACTGCGAGGCTGCCGACAGAGGCGACTGCGCGTCGCGATGCAAGGAGTAGCATCACGCGTCAACATGAGTGAACAACGATGGGGGTGCTGGGGCTACCATCTAAGGGCAGTGCTGCTCTTTGAATGAGATAAAAAGCGAAGCGCTCTTCCCATGGTTGCTTTAGGGTGCTACAGTACGGCTTCATGCCCACAGAATGGTAGTAGTTTCTCTTCGCAAACCCTGTCAGCTTCTGTATGTCCGTAGAATCGAGTTACAGTACAGTACTGCCCTTTTGTGCGCAGTGGGCTCGGTGTCTACTGGGGCATATCGCTTCAAGTTTCGTGCTGTCTGCGAACGTGTCCCACTTCCCGGAAGATGAAAGGGGTGGGACGAGCAAAACACGGTTTCCCATTGAAGTTACTTGTAGGATGTCTTTTCTCTCTGGGTTGGATTCTGAATACACTAGACAAAGGAGAACCAATTGATAGCACTGTGGCAAAACTGTGTGCCAGGGAGGGTCTGTAGAGAGTTTGTCTGAGCAGCAGACAGTTTGTTTTGGTTTTCGCGAGATTTGCTGATGTCAGTATCCCAACGGCGTGCTGTATAACTGTGTATAACTGTAGAGTACACTCACATGTCCACGTTTTGATAGGCTGGAGAAAAGAACAAGTGATCAGTCTTCGCACGGCACATGAATTGAGATGAATGCAATGAACTCCTAAAAGGATCACTCTCAGAAGAACAACCTTCGTAAACGAATAGAATATTTAGAATATGCATCCACCACGTGTGTGGCTGCCCAAATTTAACTAAGAAACAATGCTGAGAGAGCATCCTTGAATAGAATACAGAAGGCCAGCCCTACCCTTAAAGGGTATATACTGTAGTATATACTATATACTCCAATATACGGCTTTATCCGTAAACCGACGTAGCTTACGGCTTCCCCCGGTTGCTCCACAGACCCTCGGTAGACCCTGATGCTCTAGTGTCGGGCCGCCGATTCCTCGATCGCTTGGCAGACGAGAGATATCTTTTCGTACAGTACATATCGCAACGCCATCTCCTGCCCAAATAATATTATGGTCCTCTGTAGCAACAGCTCCCCTTCGAAGGGTAAATTTATCCTCGCTCGTATGCCGTCTCACAGCGCGGACATGCACTATCCAGTCCAAGCGTGACACCTGGACGTTCGCTGAGATAGCATTCGCTCAAAAGGACAGTGAGTAAAGAAATCATGCCCAAAAATGAGCCTTGTGGGGGTTTCTGTGGGCCAAGGGCTACACACAGCACATATATGAAACATTGTCGTTCATGATCCACAATTTCCATCTCCCAAATCTGACCTTGTTCCAGCGAAATTATCAACAGAGAGAGCTCGACAACAACAATTCAAAGACAGATAGCGACGGCCAGGTTGTGATCGGGCCAACGCAACGGCCATACTTAATTCTCTTCCCATTTCAATGGCGCTACACACAAGGCCGGCATCCTGTACAAGTTTGTACGGAAGGCCTTTGTACAGTATTTGAAAATGGGAAGGGCGCAAAGTTCACCACAGAACATGAGGATACAGTACTGTAGCACACAAGTTATTTCCCCTTACGGAGGGTTCACTGGACAAGTTGTGGATTTGGGTCGTGTACTACATCTGCGGCACCGCAGTAGTGAATCTGGTAGGATAAATGACGATGCGGATTCGTAGTGTCTATTTAACCTATGAAACGTTAGCTCCCGTCTCTCGTTACAGCCCTTCAATGTGTTGTGAGAAGAGGATTTACGAACAAAATCGTGAGATCAGTTACAGTACGTCATTTGCAGTTTAATACACGTGTGTCTAATTGCTTGACTCGCAGCCAATTGTAAATGAAAAGTGCAAAAACCAGGAGCCCACAAAAGGAATACAGTAACTGATAGGTGGAACAATTTGACGGTCAACGTCAGAGCGCCCGCACCATGCGCCTGATCAATAACATAGGGCATTATGGGTGCATTTCTCTCGTTCGTAAATTGTCCTGGGCACATCCACCTTCTATGAGGTCACTTGCGCAACGAAACATCTCTACTGATAAAATCGCAACAGGGCTTCGAGACAAGTGCAGTCATTTGTCATATACATAATGATGGAGGGGTGTTTTCGCTGAATTTGTACAATAAATTGTGATTGGTGGGGCGCTGGATAGGAAGATGTGACACTGGGGCACCATCCCCAACCCTAGCGGCTGGCGGCTGGCGGCTTTTCGCTCTGGTGAAGACAATGGGGGGGTACAGTAGATCGAAAGAGCGAAATAGACCACGTCTGCCGCTGACAGGCCAGTTTGGAAAAGATGTACAGTAGTTGCACTGCAGCGTACCCTTGGGTACTGTATACAATATCATACAGCACAATACTGCCGTAGCACTATACTGCTCTATGCTGTGTCTCCCAGTATGACTGACAAAATATATATTGAAATAGCTAAGTAGTCAAGAGTGCCGAAATGGACAATCTGCACTGAATGATTATAGGAGGAGCCGCAGAGCACTAATTGGTGACTGGCGCGAACGCTCTAAGACGGTGTGTAGTATCAAGGGTACACACTGTCTTGGGGCGTTTGTACGCATTGTGTGCTACCAATCCAAAAATTGACGTGCCCCTCTCACGTCATCCCTTTCTCACTGGTAAATGATTCGCCTCATACATTAATTCGGTTGTCCATTTCTCTGATCCGCTCTCCATGCCGTTGCGAACCTGCATGACATCGCTATGCCTATGGGCACAGCCAGGCATTGCTGTAGTGCAGTAATGGACACTACCCTTTCTGCGGGCCTTTGTGCAGTAATGCACTTTACTGAACCCGAGAGGTTGACATCAACACGAAGGATGGTACTGTGATCAAGGGCGATGATGCCCACTCAGTTTACTGGAGGGGGCGACGACGGGCTTAAGTACTGTGGTGTGGTGTGGCTAAACGTGTCCAGGTGGCTATCGTACAGTAAGTGATGGGTGAGAAAGGAGTTGAGTAGATGAAGGAATGTGGGCCTGCTGAGTGGATGCAGCTTATCGTACAGCAGTCGCCGCACTCGGCAGGTCGCATGAGGAGAGGCGAAGGAGCGCGAGCTGCCGTTGGAAGACGGCGGGTTTGAGCGCTTTGGTTAGGCAATCAGCGGGGTTGGATGTAGAAGGGACGTGAAGGAGAGTGAGGCGTTTTCGGAGGGCTTGTTCTGTTAGGAAGCGGTACTTGATGTCAACGTGCTTCAGCTTGGGCGTGGGGTGGTCTGATGTGGCTGTTTTCAGCGTGGAGACATTGTCCATGCATAGACTTGTAGGCGGAAGGTCGTCGGATTGTGTCAGGTCTTGAATAAGGCGGCGTAGATGCGTGAGGTGCTGAGCGGCATGGAACCCCGCGACATATTCAGCCTCCCAGCTTGATGCGGTAACGAAGCGCTGGCGCTTTGATTGCCAAGAAATGGGAGCATTTTGCCAAATGGCAATGAAACCAGACGTGGAGCGTCGCGTTTCGGGGCAGCCTCCGTAGTCGGAGTCACAGTATGCACGCATGGGAGCAGGGGATGGGGTGTAGGTGATGCCTCGGTGGGGGGTATGTCGGAGGTATCGCAGGACGCGATGGAAGGCTTTCCAATGGCGCATAGATGGATCATGATTGTAGCGGCCTAAGAGACCGGTTATGAAGGCGAGGTCTGGCCGAGTTGAGTCGGCAAGGTATCGCAAGGAGCCGATGGCGCTGTCGTACGGGTAGGTCGCGGGGAGTGGGTCTTCGTCGGGTTTGCGAGCGGAGAGGTCGATTTCGGCGTACGGGGTTGGCGAAGGGTTGCTTTTTTCCATGCCATATCGCGTGAGGACGTCCTCCGTGTAGTGCGGCTGGTTGATTGTGAGGGATGTAGCTGTGCGGGTGACTTTCCAGCCGAGGATTTGTTTCACAGGCCCGAGGTCTTTGAGCGTGTACTTCGCCTGAAGCTGTCGTTTGACATCGTTGACGAGGGAGCGGTCGTTGGAGATGACCAGGAAGTCATCGACAGTTATGACAAATAAAATGAAGGATTGACTGTCGGGACGGCGGAGGATAAAGGTGCAGCTGTCGCTCGTTAGGCGTTCAAAATTGAGGAGTCGGAGGGAGGAGGCAAGTCCGCTTGTGAAGATGCGGCAAGCCTGTTTGAGGCCGTACAGGTTCCCTTTGAGGAGACCGACGTGGCCGGGGTACTTGTAAGAGCCATCAAAGCGGGGTGGTTGG